CGGCTTGCTCACCGCGAGCTTGCTGCCAGAGCATAGGTGCGAACCCTTATTTATACCGTATCGACCAGGCTGGCTCCCTGCCTGCCCTCCCCTGAGTCCCCTCCTCGTTCGGTCTTGTGAAGTCTGACCCTTCTGGCGGCCGAGGAGCACTTTTTTGACTGAGGCATTTGGACGTAAATGCAGTCTGATGCATGCACGAGGAGCCGCAATTGCAGTCAGATAGATCCAGCAAAGTGGTCGTGCGAGTGGGCTCTGCCTCTTAGCCAACCACGCACACACAATGTCATGCGATCTTCCTCCACAAGTCTATCGCCACACCTCTTTTTTTTTTGTCTTTTCACCCCTTTTCTTAGTACGGTCCACCAGTGGGGACCACCACACTCCCACTCCACCACCAAGGTACCCCGCTACACTCATACTAGTAGGACTTTCCTGCCTGTCCATGACCGTTTCTCCGGCCCGCCCCACCCAGACTCCAGATGGGGGGATGAATTCTTCCTCCTTGGAGTACTGGCCCGTCGCCAGCGAAGGACTACAGTTCTTTTTTTTTTTTTTTTTTTTTTAAGAAAGTCCAGCGCAAAGAACTACAGTTCTTGATTTCTCTCTCTTTTTTTTTTAACTTTGTTCTTCTCTCAATTTCACCTCACACTACCTACCTACCTGCCACTACTCCTAATTGTAGGTAGGCATACGGGGAACCCCGTAGCAGCCACAACCGTGCTCACGAGAGAACATGCATGCGGGGGCTGCTCCCTACCTGCAGGTTTCCTCGACGAGAGTTTGAGCGGACCTAGGACCTCGCTGCGCTACTCTCCACATGTGCAAAAATGAGAATGAATTTTCCTTCAGAATATGGACAGATACACCTCCATATGTTTTGTCTTTTGTGTCTTTTGTGCATGTGGCCAGTCGTGCAGTTGAGGCTCCTATTCTATGGACCTTGTGGACACTACGGAACTCTGCAGCCCCCCCTCCCCCCACCAAAAAAAAAAAAAAAAAAAAAAAAAAAAAAAAAACCCTAAGAAAAAAAAAAAAAAAAAAAAAAAAAAAAAAAAAAAAA